TAAAGTGCTATATCTTGGGTTCCTAATAGAGATATGGCAATAATTGTTTCGATTTTGTAATGTAGAGAATCTCAGNCTTTCCAAAGATATATAACATGCATACCTTACATGCAAATTCAAAACTCCATTCACTTAACATGGGGTTATTATTAGATAAATCGGCTAATTAGATTAACCTGGCTGTCAACCCCAACAGAAATCAAATTTTAAGTTGTTTTAAAGATACCCTCCCTATTATATTTCTTAAAGATGATCTTTGTCCAGTTATGGTATAAGATAGCTTGTCAGGCAAGGTAATATACGCCCACTGATAGCTTTGTTTGAAATTGAATATTTGTTAGAAAATAGCAAACATAGACACCAGGAAATATTCAACTTATACCCAAATCCATCACAAACTGTGCCATCACAAGTTAAAAATCATTTGTAAGAATAACGGCAATAACTTGTATTTTATATTTCAAAAGGTTTAGTTTTGATTGTGATCAATTTCATCAAGTTGTCAAATTTGTTTTAGACTTCTGCTTTGTAGAATAAAAATTACGTGTTGTACAAGATTTTTTATCAGATTTATCCTTGGGTGATTTCAATAAGTCTGTCATGAATTGTGTATTTGCAGATTATATTCAAAAATATAGGCAATAATTCATACTACATATTTTTCGATTTCCCTGATTTTTCTATAGGGTTTATCCTTGGGTGAATACGAACACTCATACCAAGTTTCATCAAAATCTGTCAAGAATTGTGCCTTCTAGAGTGTTTACGAGCTAAAAATTGAACACGTTTTCAATGACAAGGGCATCGAAGATATCAATTTTGTTATTTCAAACATTGTAGCTGAATGAATTTTTAACCTGTTCATGATCAGTCTACTGTGCAACAATCACAATTAGCGGATATGATACCCCTTTAAATTGAAACACACCATGCTAGTATGTTGGGGTACATTTCGACCCCAGATAAATGCAGTGCTAAAACTGGATTTCAGTGAATAAAATTAAATTGTAATCTACTCCTAAAGCTAGTTATCTTAGGTTAAAGTCAATTTGGCACTAAACCGAAATGTCCCCATGTCAAAATGGCTTCAAAAGTCACAATTAGTCGAAATGACCCCTAAATTTAATCTTTGATTTCAACCAAAATCATTGGTCGAAATGATCCCCCCACCCCCAAAATTTAAAATGTCCCTAGTTTAAAAATATTCTAACTTTGATAATTATAATTAGTAGCTTATCTGAGTGATTATCAAAGACTAACAATAATAGTTTGTAACTTATGTGATGATCAATGAAAGAAAAAAGGCAGTAGTTTATAGCTTATTGCAGTGATGATGTGTATATTTGTTTTGAAATAAATACTGTTTAAACCAAGTCAAATTTTTCCATGACAGCCAAGTATTATATAGAATTGGTTGAAAGTGGGACCGAGTTTCAATACACCTGTAAGAATTGTATTGTACCATACGGAAACTATTAAAAAATCTTAACAACATTTGATCGATAATAAACATTGACACAGTACTTTATTTCAAAGATTAAGGTTAATCTGTTATTAACAAATTAATTCAGATTATTAAATAAATTTATGGATATATTCAATATGAAGAGTACATAATATTTTACCAAGATGAGACCTGTTCAATATAAATACGGGTCAGTTGAGACTGGTGAAATTACCTTGCTGCACTAATAATATGCCAACAACTCTTGATATTTTTTCCCGACAGGATATGCCGTGATACGACCAAAACACCTCTATCTTATTGGTCCCTGATCCAATCCCTCTACACCTATTTCGGCACCGAAATACAAACAACATACTTTCAAAACATTCATATATTATTTATTGTTAAAGTTGTTCAATGAAATAAAAAAAATTATTTGATACCATTTTGACCACTTTGTAAGGGATATTTCAACTAATTTTGGAGCCATTTTGGTTAAAAATTGACTATAACACCTATTGAATCTCGGGGGTCCTGAAGTACCCCAGTAGGTGAAATTTGAGTTTTTTTATACATAATTTTCAAATTATCAATAAATGTTATAACCATATCAAGTTAAGCTAGCTACTTTTGAAATCTTGACCAATGGGTCAATAATTGAATCAAAACAGATGCACTCTGCTCATCCCTAGATCACAACCCGACCCTTATGTAATATTCTAGATTATAGGTTTGGCTTGAAGACAGGATGACTTTCGCATATCGATATAACTATCATCTTGAATAATTGATTTGGTCAACAAGGAGACTTTATAAAGTATTATTTGCAACACCTGCGAATATGTTTCATGTTCTTTTGTTCAAAATTTCCATTATATTATAGGGGTTCCCAAATACCCCAGGTTCTATCCAATGTTATTCAAACGACGTGCTAGCACAAGGGTTAATATTTTTCGATTTCGCTGATTTTCAATAGGGTCTATCCTTGGGTGATAACGAACACTCATACCAAGTTTCGTCAAAATCTGTCAAGAATTGTGCCTTCTCGAGTGTTTACGAGCTAAAAATTGAACGCGTTTGCAAGAACAAGGGCAATAATTCATACTAAATATTTTTCGATTTCGCTGATTTTCAATAGGGTTTATCCTTGGGTGATTACGAACACTCATACCAAGTTTCGTTAAAATCCTTCAAGAATTATGCCTTCTAGAGTGTTTACGAGCTAAAAATTGAACGCGTTTTCCAGAACAAGGGCAATAATTCATACTTAATATTTTTCGATTTCGCTGATTTTCAATAGGGTCTATCCTTAGTTGATAACGAACACTCATACCAAGTTTCGTCAAAATCTGTCAAGAATTGTGCCTTCTAGAGTGTTTACGAGCTAAAAATTGAACGCGTTTGCAAGCACAAGGGCAATAATTCATACTAAATATTTTTCGATTTCGCTGATTTTAATAGGGTTTTATCCTTGGGTGATTACGAACACTCATACCAAGTTTCGTTAAAATCCTTCAAGAATTGTGCCTTCTAGAGTGTTTACGAGTTAAAATTAACAAGGGCAATAATTCATGCTAAATATTTTTCGATTTCGCTGATTTTCAATAGGGTTTATCCTTAGGTGATTGCGAACACACATACTAAGTTTCGTTAAAATCCGTCAAGAATTGTGCCCTGTAGAGTGTTTACGAGCAATTGTGGACGGACGGACCGACGGACGCACGTTTGATACCTTCTGCAATTTTGCGTTGTGCGGCGGTTTTTGTGCGATTTTTTTAGTTGTTCTCACGTATGCTACCTTCTGTGATTTTTTGTCCGAAATGTCATGTGAGTTTCTTTTTTCTTCTGGGACTATTTGTCCAAAGTCTCGAGGGTGCTGTCTTATGTGACTTTTTGTCAGAATATCCATGTGCGTTTATTTTTCTGTGACTTTTTGTTAGAATATCCATGTGCGTTTATTTTTCTGTGACTTTTTGTTAGAATATCCATGTGCGTTTATTTTTCTGTGACTTTTTGTTAGAATATCCATGTGCGTTTATTTTTCTGTGACTTTTTGTCAGAATATCCATGTGCGTTTATTTTTCTGTGACTTTTTGTTAGAATATCCATGTGCGTTTATTTTTCTGTGACTTTTTGTCAGAATATCCATGTGCGTTTATTTTTCTGTGACTTTTTGTTAGAATATCCATGTGCGTTTATTTTTCTGTGACTTTTTGTTAGAATATCCATGTGCGTTTATTTTTCTGTGACTTTTTGTCACTGCATGTGAGTCTCACGGACCATACCTTCTGTGTCTCTTTGTCCGAAAATTTATGGGAGGTTTTTAATTTCAAAATGCTACCTTCTGTGACATTCTGTCCGATAATGAACTGAGACATTATACTAGAAAAGTCGCATAAAGCAGCAACGACAAGTATTTTCCCTTTGACCACAAGTTAAAATGTTGATGTTATAGATTAGTTTTGTGGGTTTGTAATAGATAATTCTTCACTCGAGTCATTTTGGAACAAAATAGAAAAGTTGCACAAGGTACGGACAAACAAGTATTTCCCCTTAGACCACAAATTTAACTGTCATTCATATTTTCTGGATATTGAAATGCTTGGCTTATTCAAATCTGATTATATCGCCTCTTTCAAGTCCCCTTTCTTGCTTGAATATCTTTCTCTGAACTATTCGAAGCCCCTTCATGTTGTCCATATACTGAAACAATCTATCTTAAGAAATAACTTTATTTCACACGTAATATGTTTTTGGTAACTATCATACCATTGAATTATACATGATTTCGTCACTTGCACATGATCTCATATTACGTGTATGAACATGTTCGAATGTAATAAAAAGCAAAGAACAAAAATGTATTGTGTGACCGAGCCAAGGTTTCTTAATTTTTCATCTCTAAAAAATTTACTGAGATAGCTTTAACTAAGCTTCTGTTATTTAACGAAATTAACATTAAACTTCAAATTTTAAACTCAATAAAAATGTATATTTACTAATGATTGAGATTCGAAATTTTCTTTACAATTTCTGTATAATGTTTCTCTTGAAGTATTGGACTTTTTTTCATAATTATCGTGCATTCCTTTTTGCCAGGTGTTGTTTTATTATCAAGGTGGTGTTTGAAATATTTGTGAATCTCTTTAACCCGGTCAGAAGTCCATCTTATTCGCTTACATCTAGACTTCCTTTGTTTTTTAATTTCGGGTTCACTGTCTGATTCTCAGTCACTAACAGGTCGTTTTCTGGCATGTTCATTAAGTTCTATGTTCTGTACATTTGATGTATCAACAGATCCTTCAAGAATTAAATCTGAAATAGCAGTATTAAATGCATGATTACTAACACTGACAATTGATTCAATATGAGATCACAGGATTATCCATTATGGCGACCTACATGTCATCTAGCACTTAATATCTATAATGCTTAAGTTGATCAGCTCTATATTAAACTTAGAAAGCCAATAATTTCATTTTAATCAAACATAAAGCATTTTTAAAAGATAGCTGGAGTCAGTTAAGATGTTACCTTCGAGAGATATATCATCCAGTTTCTTTCCAGCCAATTTGCTTGTGAGGTTCAAATCTTGAACCAGAAGAAGCTTACTTATTTTCACCCTTTCAATAAACCCACTCATTTGCTGGTAATGGTCCTTATGTACACGTTTGGTGTGTCCAAGATGCTTACAAAGCCAATCCATTTGGTTGTTATTCAAATCCATAACCTTAGATAAAGATAAAGATAATCGTTACATCTGTATTGAAAAATAGCAGAAAATCACTTCACATCTGATTCAAACTGCTTTTTACTTTGCAGAGGATGTGCACAAAAGGGGTAAAAATTAAAACCATTTAAAATCTCTTTGTCGAAATAAACAAAAGTAGATTACCTGTGTAAGTGTTGAAGTGTATTTTCGCATTGAAACACTTGTAATGTTTTCTGGGTTTTTAAGATTTAAATCTGAGCATATATTTTTCAATGATTCATAACTTCTAATAGCTCCATTTACTGAAATTTAACAATATACATGTAAATCGACAATTAATATATTTAACTATGAAAATAATGTGATTGCCGATGTAACTTTCCAATGTAGAAAATATATTATGTACATAAAATATATAAAATATATATATCCATGTCTGCTCGACATCATTTCAAGTTTTTGTGTGTCATATAGCACAAATAAAGATGGTGATAAGACAGACATTACTATTTTAGTTTGTTACAAATTAAGATGTGATTAGGCTATTATAATTACTTTTACCTGAATTTGGAAAGAGAAATCTGTTATGTTTGTTTACTCCAGCTTTTTCAGCATTAACTATAAATTCTAAAGGTTTTCTGCAATCATCAGGGATTATAACAGGAACTGGTTTTCCTCGCTGAAAAAAATACTTTTTAATGAAATATTCGCCTATCCAACTTTAAATCTTTACTGAATAGGAAATTTCACAAGTAATTATAGAAAATATAACGATACTTTTTCCTTTAATCAATTTATCTGACACATATCTACACATTATAGCAGATATAGCTTTACCTTTCCACGCACTATCATAAGGTCCTGGGATTCCAAAAGATGTTTTTCTAATAAGGACAATTCCCCAATTAGACTTTGATCCACATCTGACAGTTCTTTCCTTCTTGACAAAAAGCTTCTCAAACTGAAATTATAGTAATACGGGCAACATTAAAAAGTTCATGATTCATACTAGAGAGATAATCATAATTTCTTGTAAATTAACTTGACAATCCTGTAATAATAGCAAAATTTCTAAATTCAAATTAACCCCCGTTTAAGAATGTTAAGAGAGTGACTTAACACATAACGTAATAAAAATAGTTTAGAAACTTCAAACAGAAATTTGTCTTATTTGAATTTCCAATTTGATACATCTCGAGTACAAGGAGGTGACAATTACCTGATGGCATCGATTTCACCAGACCGCCTTTTGTTGTAAGATAAGAGTCTGCATTGCAGGAATTTTATAATATGAAAAAAGTTTTCCTTTGAAGAATTCAAGGAACATGTTGATAGTTCGCTAATGAGATGCTTATTTAGCACTTCAATATCTGACGGTGCTGGAATATCTTTGCTTTTCGTAAATTGTCTCTTCATTAGAACTGTGTACGCCAATTTGGTGACTTTTGTTTTGAATTCAAGTGACATCAGATGTAAAAACGTTTTACAGTCTTTTCTTTCCTTATCGTTTTGTTCTCTGCCTTTAACAACAAAGCTCCACTTAAAATTTGTCAATCTCAGAATGTCATATTTCAGTTTCAAGCAATTTGATGGAGATTTTAATTCATCTTCATCATCAATCAGTGGTATAGCAACTTCTAATGCAGCTTGGGCCATGATATCGAAAAATTCTGGTTTTATAAAATCCCACATAGACATGTGTTTTTCATTACCAGTATCTGCGACCAATTTTCGTAGCTCCACCAACAACCGGGCAGCTAACCGCATTCTTTGGGAGGAATAATGTGCTCTCTTCAGTGGGTTATCGATGTTTTGTCTTAACCAGCATTCACCGAGTGCCACAATCAAAACATCATTTTGTGCAACTTCAGATATAAGATCAACTGTCATTATTGACTGTCAATACTGACTGACCTAAAGCCCATTGTACATCATCCATAAAGCATTGTAATGTATTCAATTTTCCCTTTTTAAGTAACATGTCTGAAAATTGAGAATAATAATTGAAAATGTATTAGTCCAGCTTTCAAAATATGTTCAGGATTTGCTACACCATTAAAGTAAACTAAGCGTTTCTATTTGCATTGCAGTTTTAACATCTCTAAATCATTAAGTAAATTCAAATTTGGTTTTATAGCATAAGTATCCATTTATGTTTAATCTCAGCTTAGAAATAAAATGTTAAATTGTAAATGCTGAACAAAACTGAACGTATAACACCAACAATAATAACATTGTGTGGTTATTTGAATATCGAATGAAACAAATCAGTAACAGTTTGTTATAATAATATCATCTATTACAATGAGCCTACCAATTGCTGCTTGCCGTAATTTCGACATATTTTCATTGAAAGGTACAATTTCTGACAGTTTTACAGTGAACCTGAAAGTAAATTGGTTATCATAATATTTACTGTTGTAATGCAGTTGGAATTTTCATTCCCACCTAAAATATTATCTTTTGAACATTTTTATAGGACGTAGATCATAGAAATGTTACAATTAAGACCATGTATAAAGTATTGGGTATCGGGCATGTAAATGAAAACGAGAACATGTATCAAAATTTAAGACACTAATACTTACACAGAATCATCAGAGTTTATATATACACCGGCGGCAATCTGGCCCTTGTGCATAATCTTTCCGGGCCACATAACTGGCGTACCCTTTATTTTGGCCCAAACAAACATTTTGATGTACTGAAAAAGAGAACTCCAATTCTTGACATAGCACAAAACCCTTACAAAACATTGGCGTCCGAAGGAATTTTTGATTGGTGGAAAGGGGGGGGGGGGGGGGTGTTTGGCTGAGCTCAATTTCACATGGGTAAAAAATTACGCCAAGTTTCGCTCTCCTTTATATAGGGAAAAAAGCCCCCCACCAGGTTTCGACTTGTGTCGGAACGAATTTTTGATGGGGGGATTTTTCATACGAAAAGAAAGACGCCGTGTGATATTCTCCTTTTTTAGGAATAAAGTGGAGGGCTGAGCCCTCACCCAGCCACCCACTGCTTCCGACGTCCATCACATATATAGATAAGTTTACCATTGAGTGATTTTAAAACTGAGGGGGGAGGGGAGGAATGTCTGCAACAAACAAGTTACAAGCCTACTAACGGCAATCTAACAAAAGGATTACTGAGACGTTAAGACGAGACTAATGGAAAAGGCTACCAAAGAAAACAGGTATTACATAATCCTTAATTGTCACAATACTGCATTCCTGCTGAATTGAATTTGTGCCCGCCTATATAAGCGTGTGTGACGTCTTAAATGTAGACGTTTAGGCCTAGAGTTTATGACTTACCGGTTAAACTTGTATATTGGGTGTCCAGTATACAAATATCCCCGTCCACCTGGTATAAATGATTTTTAGAATCTGGACTGTAAAAATAATTCCAATAACAATGGCAATGAGGAGAAAGGAACAGATTGCAAGCAACGTAATAACAGCGATCGAGTCGTTCTCCATCTTGTTTTTTTAGAGGAAAGACGCACAAAAAGTGTCCTTATTTTTATTCACGTGACAACAAACCTTTAAGTAGGCATGCGCCATGTTTATTCCAAGCCAATCTGATTGGATGCTAGAGATAATAGAAGTACCTCATTGGTTAAGAAAAAAAACGTCACATGCGACGTCCAAATATTTTCAAGGATAAAAACTAGAAAGTCAAATGTTGTCCTTAATACGGATCAATATAAGGACAAAAATTCGGACAAAAAATTTTATGCAACTTTCGCATGTGTACGTTTTAACCCCGGAAGAACACATTGGGCATACTTTAAGTTACATATCTTATGCAACTCGACGTACATGCAAAAAAGTTGCACAATGCCTCTCTGGACTCAAAATAAGTTTCAGATGGTAGCATTCGCGGGAACGGACCGACGGAGATGGGTGACGACAATATACGCTCCCCATTTCATGTGGGCGTATAAAAATTAAGCTCTCGGGTGGATTGAATCATGTCATATTGTAGTTTTTAGCTTACGGCAGCATATTGAAGGTATACCTCCACTTAATTTACCAACTTTCTCATTTCTTATCCAATTTTCATCAAACTTGGTATGTATGTGTATAATTATATTCTAA